CTAGTAGCCATGAGTAATTTCTATTAAAATCTGGTTATCTAACATAATTATGCAACTTTTCGATGATGCCAAAAGGGGGAAGATAGGTTGTGCATTTTACTTTGGATTGTGATGTTTATAACCTAATGAACCTGGTCCTTGATGATTAGTGTCTTTAAAATGGAAAGTATTCTAACATTGTGTTGATTTGAACTCAGTTGACACAAGGCTTATGCTTATGAAAAGCGCAAAATTTGTCATCATCAAAAGGGGGAATTTGTTGGCCCAAGTGAAGTTTTATTTTGATGATTGACAAAGAAACTTGTGCATGAACCAGGTCCATCAACAGTATACACAGATACGGGCAGAATTCGAGCATAAGGGATCCACGTGAGGGAGATAAGCTTAACCTATTATATCTGATATATCCTGATCGAAAAGATTGCATAAATGATAAGGATAAGGACTCCTTACTCGAAAAGAAATTTATCCAAGATAAGGGAGGAGTTAGAAGTTGAAGATAACTAGAACTCTTCCACCAAGGAAGAGTATAGCGTTGGAACTCTAGTTATTTCTTAATCTACTAACTCTATATATTGCAGGATGTTCTCATTCTACAGGTACGCACAAAAGATGAAGTTAAACGTGAGTTTAGAGCAAAATAGCAAGGCATTTTGCAAGCAATTCCTGTGTGATTCAAGTGTGTGAACCTGAAATTACATGAATCAGATAGAAGAACCAGGTCCAAGCGTCTGTATTTTATTCTAGTTTCATTGTAGTAGGTGGTTTTCAAATTATACCTTTCAGTTTTATCTAGAAGCAATTGTATTAGGTACTCTGAGTATTCAAGTTAGAGTTAAATTAAAGTTGTTGCAACAGTTAGAGGTTGGTTGCCACAACGGGAGTAGAGTTAATCCTTAGGTTTACAAAGAGTTTTGTAAATGCTGTTTTGGCTCAGTGATTTAGTGAAGTATTTGAGAAAATCCTACTGCGTAGTAGGTCGTGGTTTTTTCACCTTTTGAGCCGGGTGCTTTCCACGTAAAAATACTTGTGTTCTTTAATTTCTGCATTTACTATTTGTGCAACAGCAGTATAAGGAACACTTAGAAGAACCAGGTCCTTCTATAATCAGTGCACGCAAAAATTGGATACCACACAAATCACCCCTCTTGTGTGGCATTGACGTATAAAACAACAAGTTTGTAACTTTATCGAGATGTAGAAATGTGCTAAAGATATATGATCAAAACTCGCACGAGTTTGCCATGACATATGTGGCTGAAAGTTGATGGGAAGACATAGAAATATCGAAGGTATAAATATTGTAAAATCTATAAAAAAAAAAAAAATTGTTCAAAGCTTTCCTATTGGAATTTCCTAAGCAATATTTGTTTATTTATAATTGATTAGGATATATGAGTGGAGTTACAATGCGACATATATTTTTTTTTAAGCATGACGAAAATTAACTATAATGAGTGTCAGATGCTTGATCCATAGATAATCATTAAGCGTTCTCAATGTCTTCTTTCCTTGGATATTATTAACTAGCAGAATGAATGATCATAGAGGAATCTTAAAAGTAGAAAGGGGGCTACTATCAAACTTTGCTGTTATATATATAAACCAATGCATCCATATTAGAACTATTATGCTTCAAATAAAGTTCTTCGGTCACAGTTACGTTAAACTAATTATGATTTACCGTGATGAACGCAATTATACTATGAAATAGCTTCAACTTTCAACTTTTGTTTTCTTTACTTTACAACATCCGCGAATTATGCAGGTACTTATAACAACAAATAACAACATACCCAGTATAATCTCATATTGTGGGGTCTGTAGAGGGTAAAGTGTAAGCAGACCTTATCCCTACCTTGTGAAGGTAGAGAAACTGTTTCCGAAATACCCTCGGCAGGTAATTATATCGTATATATAAAATCAAGAACTTTATATTTATCATTGTACCAACTGTCTTTATTAGAATATGTCCGTAAAATTTACATTTAGCTAAAAATAAGGCAATAATTTTTTGTGTTGTGATTTTTTTCTCTAACACTTTCCGCGCATCGCGCGAGTACTATACTAGTATAATTAAGAGGAATTTAATAATTAATTAGAGATTTATTAGTGTATTAAATAATGAGTAAGGAAAAAAATATGAATAGACAAAAAGAAACGAAAAGGTTAAAAAAATTAAAATTTAGATAATTTCTGATGTGGCTCTAACGTGGCACTGATATGGCACTGATGTGTCAATGATGTGGCGTATGTGTAAAGCACATCACATTGTGAAACTGGTATTATAGTGTTAGGGTATTATTTAATTCACTTCGAACAAGAATAGGGGTAAAAGAATATCCGTTTAGTTTAAGTGTTCAAACCTGTTTTTTGGACAAATTTAATAGGGTCTTTATGTATTTTGCCTTTCTGAAATAAAGAAAGAGCTGCAAGTTGAAAAAGAAGATGAGAAAACCACAACTATCATCCATGTGCATGTGAGTATCATCCTCGCCTTAATTAGTGTTTGCACTTCTGTTAATTCGTTATATTATGAAGGGGAGCCTTGACGTAACTGGTAAAGTTGTTGTCATGTGATCAGGAGATCACGGGTTCGAGCCGTGGAAACAGCCTCCGGTAGAAATGCAGGGTAAGTCTACATACATCAGCCATTGTTGGCCTAAGTGAAGGTTAGTTTTGAAGATTGACAAAGGAAGCTCATACATGAACCAGTTCCATCCCTTGTGTGCATAGACACGGGCAGATTCGAGTATGTGGGATACACGTGAAGGAGATAAGCTTAACTTGGTATAATTAATATCTCCTGATCGAAAAGATTGCATAATTGATAAGGAGAAATACTCCTTAATCAAAGAGAACACTATCCAAGATAAGGGAGGAGTTAGAAGTTGAGATCAACTAGAACTCTTCCACCAAGGAAGAGTAGCATTAGAACTCTAGTTATTTTCTACTCTACTAACTCTATAAATCGCAGGATGTTCTCATTCTACAGGTATGCACAAAAGCAGAAGTTAAACGTGAATTGAGAGCAAAATAGCAATGCATTTTGCAAGCAATTCGTGTGTGATTCAAGTGTGCAAATCTGAATCTACATGAACCAGATAAAAGAACCAGCTCCAAGTGTCTGTCTTTTATTCTAGTTCAATTGTAGTAGGTGTTTTCATATTGTACTTTTCAGCTTTATCTAGAGGCAATTGTAATAGGTACTCAGAGTATTCAAGTTAGAGTTAACTTGAAGTTATCGCAACAGTTAGAGGTTGTTTGCCACAACGTGACTAGAGTTAATCCTAGGTTTACAAAAGTGTTTTATAAATGCAGTTTTTTGGTTCAGTAATTTAGTGGAAGAGTTTGGAAAAATCCTAGTGGGAAGTAGGTTGTGATTTTTTTCACCTTTTGAGCTAGGTATTTTTACGTAAAGTACTTGTGTTCTTTACTTTCCGCATTTACTATTTCAGCAATAGTATGTTAAGGAACACTTAGAAGAACCAGGTCTTTCCATAATCAGTTTAAGGGAAAAATTGGACATCACACAAATCACCCCCTTCTTGTGTGGTATTGAAGTTAAAACATCAGCCCTTTTCCGGAATCTGTGTATAGCGGGAGCTTAATGCATCGGGTTACCTTTATTACGTTGCTGAACAGACCTTGATAATTGATTCTTGATTCCAGGATTCATTTTCAAGGGATAAAAAAGTGAAATAATACAGTCAAGAACTACCAAGCAAATGCTGCTCCACATCAGTGAAATAATACGTCTTTGTCCCAAGGAGCTGGTAGTTGAGACTAATTCTGATTACTCCGAAAAGAACTACTACAACCTCAGACGAGTCCATCATCCAATGAGAAGATAGTAGTAATAGTTTCATACTCAAGGGGAAACAAAATAAGCTTTTGTCTTTCCAATGTCAAATTGCTGTGAATATTTACTACTACTACTATTGTGATGTAGTGACAGATATTGTTGAAATGTTTTTAGTAGCTCTGTTTTGCTCCTCATTTGATTTGAACAGGTAGATGGTGTTGAAATCCTGCACATTACTCCCTCTTATTTAATTGCATTCTACGTTAGTGTAAGATCATAACATTCAGGGGCCAATGTAATGAAGAAGTCCAAATAAACATCATACTATACAGTCGATGGACAAATGATCCCCACCCCTATCTACAGCAATTGTCGTAGTCCTTGTTTTTACTTCAGAATTTGGTTGCCGTTAAGGGATGAATAGGAGTATGTCTGCATCCTTGACCAGCAGTTTCGGATTCGAGCTCACCTAATAGGGGTGGAGCGCTTCACCTTTTAATGAACCTTACGTGGCACGAATCTAAGTTTGAGTTGTGGGGATAAAAAAAGTATGATAGAGAGCGCCTCCTCCTTTAACGAGCCTTAATACGCGGCACAGATTCTAATTAGTAGGGGTATCAATACGAGTACAACACACATGGAGAGAAACATCAAAAAAAAACCAATAAACTCATTTGCATAAGATATATGTCTCTCTCTAATGGAATTGGTAACTGCCATATTATTCTTTTCCATGATAAACAATTAAATGGAAAACAAAGTTGATAATTGGACGTGATAAGGAAACACAAAAAAGAAATTGAAAACTGAATTCGCAAATATTCAAAAAAGCAACTTTTTTCCAATAGCTCAAAATTAATTTCTCAAAAAAGAAGGGGAAAAAAAAAGTCAACTGACTTGAGAAACTAAAAAGTCATAACATTTGACTTTAAAAAATGACAATGAGGGATATATATGTCATTTACCACTTCAGCATGTACTGCTAAATTTGGTGCTTAGCCTTTTCTCCATGCACACTACACTCTCTTCAATCAATCCTTTCATCACTTCACTTTAACTTCATTCTCCGGCAACCGGCGCCACAAAAGGCCCATTTAAGTTCGGGTCGGGCGCGGGTCGGGATGATATTCGGGTACTTTCTTCCAGACCCCGTAAGTTACTAAATTATTGGGGCTTTGACTTTTTTGCATAAGTCAGCTCAGATTCTGTTTACTTCACTGTAACGTAGACTAATTATAGTGATTTATGCGCATAAATCTGTTTTTTATTTGTGTGCAGTTAATGGATTTATTTAAAGTTTCATTTGAGCTTGTTTAATTATTTTATTTATGGATCAATAATGGATTTTGATTGCTTCCACTTGCTTAAATTTTAGGAAAATTTTGAAGTCTAAGAATTTAGGGTTTTGACTTAGTTCTTACGGTGATTTATGCACATAATTGTGTTTTATTTACTGTTAGTGAGTATTTAAGTTTTCATTCGAGCTTTTCTAAAAATTGTTTATGGATCAAAAATGGATTTTTGATTGCTTCCACTTCTTAAATTCAGTGAATTTTTTTTATCTTTGCAACTCAAGAATGATTGGGGTTTGTATTTGAAATTAGTAGGTGTTGATGGTTTCATTTTCAGCTATTTTTCTTTATTGTTTATTGAACAAGATTTGAATTTGATTGCTTCCACAGTGAAATTCAGGCAAGTTTTATCTTCACAAGTCATAGAATTTAGTGCTTTGACTTTTGTGTTTCCTTTTTCGGTTTGGTATGCTGCTCGAGCACTTTCTTGCTAACCTAGTAAGTGAATTATCGCTTTGACTTTTGCATAAGTCAGCCTAGTTTTATGTTGACCTCACTGTAATGTACATATGCATTACAGTAATACAGTAATATATGCATGTGATTGTATTTTATTTGCAATTAGTGGGTGGTTAAGGTTTTATCTTGTTCCGTGATCAGATTTTAACTTATTGCTTCTGCAGCTAAAAATTGGGAAAATCATGTTCTTTGCAAGTTTAATAATTTTAGTTTCAGGTGAATTTGAAAAAAAAAGATTATTATTTAGAGAAGTCTATTGTTGTGATTGTGTGACTAATGGTGTGGCATACACGCGCATGCACCCACAGACGCATACAGATATGCTCAGGAAACCTTTTCTGGATAACTACTTCAGTTAGCACATGTGAGCACATCCACTAGGAAGCATAATGAAAAATATTCAGGTCATCTATTATTAGCATTTGTTAGCATCATATTTCCTTTTTTCTTTCTAAGTAAATTTGTTAGCATCATAATTTGCATGCATGTAATACTTGTTTCCGTACATTCCAGGTAACAAAGAGGTTTGCCTTTTGATTTCATTCTCGGGGAGCTTAGGAGGATGTATCTGCTATATGAAATGTCTGGTGTGATGGTAATTTCCTTTGAGTTGCTGTGCTATAAGGAGTCAAGACTGACTTCTAAGCCTTTGTAAGATTCTGCTTCTTCTTCTCTTCTTTGTCTTTCATTTACTTATAATTTTGAAGCATTTGTAAGATATACTCCTGAATGATTATACTTTTAGAAATTGTGGATGCCGATGATTGGAGGTGCTTTCAATTGAGTTTCTGTTTAATCCGTATTTAGAGTTATCCCCTGGTTTTATTAATGCTTTAGAGATGGATCACTAATTTCTTCTNTGTTGTCTTCTACCTGTTCATGCTTGCAAAGACATAAACAGCTGAAGGGTGCTGTTGATTAGCCCATTTTCTCTTGCAGGCGGCCATAGATATAGTGCTTGTTATCATAACTCATATATTGCATCTATATCCCTGTCTAAATTGTAGAAGTTTTAAACTCTAAGTTGTTTAATGGTTGTAGGTGCATGCATTGGTTAGAAATGAACTCTGATGCTCTTTGACGGACTGAACTAATCACTATGAGCCCTTCTATGACAAAAAAGCATATTCAAAGGAACTCCTCATAGGATTTAGCTATTTACTGGTTTTATTCAGCTAAGATTTTGGTATACGCTACAGTTGACTGTCCTTGCTCACGATAATCTCATATAGCAATGCGTTCATGGTGGGGGAAGTCTTCATCTAAGGATGTAAGGAGGAAATCCAAGAAGGAACGTTTCATTGATACAATAAGTAGGAAACTGAAGATTTTCACCGAGGAAAAATCGAGTGGTAAATCTGGATCATCTCGAAGAAGATGTAATGATATTATTTCAGAAAAGGGTTCTCAATCAAGGGTTTCCAGGTCACCATCACCATCTACGCCAGCTTCATGCTGTCAGAGCTTTGTTGATAGGACTTCTTCTCAACCACTTCCCCTTCCTGAGGGTCACTTTTCTAATGTACATCTTGTCGACTCTGAGAACAGTGCATCCATAAAATCAGTGACTAGTGGAGACTCCAAGCCATCATTGACTTTGCCTCTTCCCATGCCTAGGCATCCTCCAAATGGACCAGCTGCTACAGGGGTTGACAAGGACTTACCAACTGCTTCTGTTTCATGTGACAGCTCCAGTGACAGTGATGACCCTGCTGACTCACGGCTTCTTAGCCCCCAAACATCTGATTATGAAAACGGGAGCAGAACTGCCTTGAATAGTCCTTCCAGGTAAGCACAAACTGATACAATGTGCTGTCCCAGCTTCCAATTTGATACACAGCAGTTCTTAAGAGTTTCTCTTTTTAGAATTTCTAACAAATAAACTCAATGTTTCTGTAGTTTGAAGCAGAAGGTTCAATCTCCTATTGCATCCAAAGCAAGTCCAGGAGAGTCTAACAATCAGGTGATCCCTACATCTCCTAGACAGAGGCTTTTAAACTCTCATGTGGCAGACTTACAGATTCCTCATCATGGTGTTATCTATAGTGCTCCTGACAGCTCGATGTCAAGTCCTTCAAGAAGTCCCATGAGGGTATTCGGGCATGAACCGGTCATGAACTTTGGTTTCTGGCTAGGGAAGCCACATGGAGACATAACCTTATTAGGATCAGGGCACTGCTCTAGTCCAGGTTCAGTCCAGAATTCAGGACAAAATTCAATTGGAGGTGATATGTCAGCACAGCCCTTTTGGCCACACAGCAGGTGTAGTCCTGAGTGTTCACCTGTACCTAGCCCCAGAATGACTAGTCCTGCTCCTGGCTCTAGGATACATAGTGGTGCTGTAACTCCTTTGCATCCTCGATCTGGTGGGACATCGGCTGAATCTTCCACAGCCTGGCTTGATGATGGAAAACAGCAAAGTCACCGGCTGCCTCTTCCTCCCATATCAATCCCTCATTCTCATTTTTCTCCATATTCAGTGGCTCCTGCAATTCCACGAAGTCCTGGTAGGACAGAAAATCCTCCAATCCCAGGGTCACGATGGAAGAAAGGACGTCTGATTGGCAGAGGCACATTTGGACATGTGTACCTTGGTTTTAACAGGTCAGTAGCTGGGATGGTAATCGATACTTTACCGTTGTTTCTTATAAAGTTTACCTTCAATGTGCTTTTAATATTCCTACCTGCATTTTTGCTTGAGATTTGTACACATGCTTTACATTAGATTACTTTAATGATGATCCACTGGAGGTGGAGTTAGCAAACTAATGGAGTTCTTCTTGTATCATTATTTTATCTTTTCAAAACAGACACTAATTTTAATGCATATTTGATAACAATCTGCAGTGAAAGTGGTGAGATGTGTGCAATGAAGGAAGTAACACTTTTTTCAGATGATGCTAAGTCAAGAGAGAGTGCACAGCAACTTGGACAAGTGAGTTACTTTTAAGAAATATCTAAATTTGCTTCTCCGGACTATACTTATGCTCTATACAGAATTTTTATGGGATAAATGTTTTCACACGAAGTACTTAGTTGAAGCTAAATAAAAAACAAAAAGAAGCAATATTATTATTATTATTATTATTATTTTGAAAATTATCATCGTGTTTCTGTTGTTGACTTCATAATTTATCTTCATGAAACCATAGCTTGAGCAATATTTTGTAGGAAATATCACTGCTAAGTCGGTTGCGCCATCCAAATATCGTGCAATATTATGGATCTGAGTCGGTAAGTTTCTTAAAGTGGTTACTGCTGGCATCATGCTTGTCATAATTAATCATAAAATGTTTTCTTTATTTAAAGTAAGTTGTACAATAAGATCAAAGTTGACTAAGTACGATGTGCCCAAAATTTTGTTTGATAAGCTCCAACATTCTATTCTCAAGTTATTCAGGATATCAACAATCATGATTTTATTTTTGAATATGTTACAGTTTGCACTTAATCTCATGATTCCCTTAAATGATGATATAAGATTGCCTTAAATGCCTCGTTCAATTTCATCTACAGGTAGATGACAAACTATACATATACCTTGAGTATGTCTCTGGTGGTTCAATCTATAAAATTCTTCAAGAATATGGTCAGTTGGGTGAGCTAGCAATTCAAAGTTACACTAAGCAAATTTTGTCTGGGCTAGCATATTTGCATGCTAAAAACACAGTGCATAGGTAGGTGAATTGTTGAAAAAGCACTTGTGGGCAATATACATGTTCTTTTTTGGCATTGATTTTCTTAGAGCCCTGTCTTAATATGTCTAATGACTGACTTTTAGTTTTAAATTTTGTTCAGAGATATTAAAGGGGCAAACATACTGGTTGACCCAAGTGGCCGCGTTAAATTGGCAGATTTTGGGATGGCAAAACATGTATGATCTTTTTGTGCAGCACACTCTTGTCTGTCTACTTTTTGCATATGGGTTGGAATGCACTTTTTCATCTCTAACATTATTGTTACTTATGTCAAGTTTTCTACGAAACGCGTGGGGCAAGCCAAAAGTTAGGCAGTGCTAGGATCTGCTTTGTGATTGTCTTATTCCTGATATCTGTAGGTTTCCTTTTAGGTCCATAACAATCTCTGTTGTCCCTTTGTAAAATGGAACTCAGAGTTATTGTTTTTAAACCTTTTGGGAGTGAATACTGGAGTCTTGCAAAAGTTTCCTAAAAATAGTTAGAGAACTGCATAAGGATCATATGATGTTTTGAGTTTACAATTTTGAGAATCCAAGAATCAAAAGCTGTAGAATCTCTTGAAATTTGCATAAGAGTGTATACTTATTAACTCTGGGAATTGGGAGGCTATATCATAACCTAATTGAAATATGGCCATTCATGGTAATCTTTTACAGTCTTAGGTGGGAATACTCCAGAAGCAATAAATTTTGAAGTGATTGCAGGTCAACTTTTCGTATGTTTTATAATAATAAATAATTGTCTAAGTTCTGGCCAAAGAATCCTAAATTTACAGCATATTTCTAAGGTTGCACCTGGATAACAACTGTTCGGTCCTCTATTGTTTGACTAGGAGGATTTCCTTTATATCTCTTCCAAGTACACTTTCCCCAAAAAATGTGTCTTGTAAGGTTTTTGAGTTTCAACTGTTGGTGTTAGGAGGAAATGTTTGTTTGTTCATATTTCTGTACAGGTCTTATTTAGCTAGCTCAGTTACATTTTGCAGATAACTGGTCAATACTGTCCTTTGTCTTTCAAGGGAAGTCCTTATTGGATGGCGCCTGAGGTTTGCATTAGTATTACTCAAACGCTTATATCATCAATGTTTAGCATTGTGTTTCAACTAATTCATTTTATAAATTTATTAATCAGGTTATTAAAAATTCAAGTGGTTGCAATCTTGCGGTAGATATATGGAGCCTTGGATGTACAATTCTGGAGATGGCAACGACAAAACCACCTTGGAGTCAGTATGAGGGGGTTAGTAAATATGTATGATGGTCCAAAGAGTAAACAGTTTCAATGTTTTGTTGTGCTTCTAATTCATTTTTAATAGGTTGCTGCTATATTTAAGATTGGAAACAGCAAGGAACTCCCTTTGATCCCCTACCACCTCTCAGATGAGGGCAAGGATTTTGTGTGGCAATGTCTACAACGCAATCCATTCCATCGTCCAACAGCTTCTCAGCTCTTGGAACATCCCTTTGTCAGGAGTAGCGTTCCGGTGGAAAGACCCATTCTAAGTCTTGAACCTGCAGAAATAATACCTCCACTCATGCCTACTGTGAGATCAGTGGTAGGGTTTCCTTCTTTGTGCATCTGGCAATCTTGCCATTCCAGTGCAACTAAAAGCTACACATGCAGTGCCTGCTTCCATAATTTTGGTCTATCTGTGAGCATGACTTCCACAAGGACATTATCATTTCTTCTTGAACATTCCCTACTTTGATTTTTTTTTTTTTTTTTTTTTTTTTTTGTTGATTGCAGTGAAAAATCTGAGTTAATATTGAAAACCAACTTCCTTAATATACTGTTTCCAGTTGATCGATTTTCCGAAATGGGTCCATGTTCCAGGACCTTTTTTAGTGAGAAAGGGTTCACGTGTTTACNAATTATAATAACTATATTAGAAGATTTTGCGACCAACTTTACTGCATTTGTATCCAAGAATGATATATACTACTATTTGAAATTGAGAAGTTTAAAGGAACAGGACATTCTGAAATGATTTGGACAGTTCTTCTAGACACAATTATTTCTACTGTCTGAAGGTAGTAGGCTACAAAAACCAAAAAACATGTGCAAAAACAAATTCAGAAGGATGATTAACTTATTAACTTTTGAGGGTCTCATATCACTTAAGCGCTTGCAAATGAACATTGGTGGGTTGCCGGCTAAGTAGGTTCATTACGTCGTTTGGGGCAATAGTAGATTTTCCTTCAGTGTAAATTCAGTTATATGAAACCTCTATGGTGCTCGCTCCTTTTGGAAAACACATTTTTTCTCAAAAGGTTTGTCTTTTACATTTGTGGTAGGTACCGTCAGTAACACTCGATCCTCTCTGTCTGGGGAACTCCTCTTAATCATTTCTGGGGAGTGGGGACTAGTGATGTTATCTGCCACCTTTAGGACTCGCGAACATTCTGCTGACTATATGCACCATGATTTAAATTAAGCAAATATACTCTGGCTGATCATTGCTAAACTCATTGTTTTCCTTGGGTCTTAGAGGGTTGACTTCATATTTTTTGATATTTCAGGCCGTCGGACAATCACCTAAGCATATGAGTGGGAGACTCTCCCCCTCCATCATATCAAGCCCCCGTGCTGTATCTGGTTCAACAACACCTCTTAGTGGTGGCGGTGGTGCTGCTCCACTATTTAACTCAATGACCTATTCATCAGAAGGCATAGGAACTTCTTCAAGGGCCCAAAGAAGCTTTCACCCTAATGGTGAAACTAGTCACGATCTGAATCCTGACATGTTTCGAGGGACTTCTCAATCCCATTTGATCCAAGAAACACTTCCATCTGACAATGGTTTTGTTGGAGATAATTTTGGGGGCCCGGCTCAAAGGGGCGTGACTGAACAACCATATCAGGGACAGTCAGTATTAGCTAATAGGGTTGCGCAGCAGCTCCTGAGGGATCAAGTAAAATTGGGCCCATCGTTTGACCTGAATCCTGGCTCTCCAGTATTTGGTCAGGATAATGGGGTTTAACTTGTAAAAGCCACCTGAAAAAAGATGGATGCGCGTGAAATATCTCTTGGAACAATTGCACAGTAACTATACCAAAAAGTCTGGTTTACTGAATAAAAGTTTTGGAGCAGATGAAAGGAGAAGGCGGTCACAAAATACCAATTTATTTGCTGTTAGTTGCTATTGTAAGTTACTTGTACCTGTAACAGCATTTGCTTATGGATTCCACGACGCCCTTGATACTTTTGACTATCTAGTTTATTTTGGTTCTCCTCAGATCACCGCCCAAGGAGCCATGCAGCAGTATATTACAATGACGTATAATTCAACTGGTTCAGAGAAGTTTATAGTTTTGGTTCCACTTACATGATAGAGAGGTACTAGGAAACACACTTTCTTTTGGGCTCATGGTTTGCAAACTCTTGACATATAGATCTTTTCTTCGTCAGGTTGAAATACAAGGAGGCAAATGTGAAAAAATTGTCGTACTTTTGTACAGGATGGACTGATTTTAAAGGCTAGATGGGGAATCTCAGGCTTGCTTGTAAAATATTTATTGGTAATTGTTCATAGTAAAGCTCTCTACTACTCGTTTGAGCTTTTCAGCAAAAGCCTGTTGTATCTTGTATGATGGTTCCCTGTAAGCCAGGTATAATACAACTTTCAGTAATAATAGTAAGCTTTTGAAGTTGAATCATGAATGTGGTTTCAACTTTTATCCTATGTCCTTTTGTCTTAGATAAAGCATGTTTGACCAGTGGTGGCTCATGACATCCATCAGTGTTTTGTTGGGACTTTTAGCACAAAGCGTAAATAAAGCGTGGGCTTTAAAGAATAAAGGCGCAAATGGATAAAAACTACAAATATGTATGTGTAGTCCAATACCAAATATATGGACAAAGAAATTGAAGAAAATTTACGCTAAAGTAAAATATCAATTGTTTAGTGTAGACTCTTCAGGATTATGCTCATTGGCGAGAAAAAGTATGTCTTAGAGTCTTGATGACAACACCGAAGCGCCCGCTAAGCGAGGGGAAGTGCTCAACAACATATTTTGAACCTCGCTTCACGCTCAACAACATATTTTGAACCTCGCTTCAAGGCTTAAGCGCGCCTTTGATAACACTGACATCCATCAACTTTTATCCTGTGTCCTTGTGTGTTGGAGAAGCGTGTTTGACTAATGATGGCTAATGACATCCATCAGGTGATTTTGCTTCTAAACTGCTAAAAAGAAGTATCAAATACACAGTTCAGCCTACATCCCTCTTATTTTCTAAAGTTGGATAAATAGTTGCAAGGCGTATATATCTTTTTGTTTGTTATCACTTAACTACTAATATAGAGAACTATTAATATAGTAAAGTCTCACTTTTTGACAGGAGTAAGTGCTTGCTAAAGCAGGTTACATTTCATTCTTTGTTCGGGGTGAAATTTACTTTGTTATCTAATAACAAGGAATGAGATTGATACCAACTCTCACTCTGAGAGTCAAAGCATTGGTTGGTGCAATCCTCTCTAAATCATCCCTTCTTCGTAGTGTGGAGGACCTAACATCTATGTTACCCGGACTCTCCAAAATCCTGCCGCACCCGTGTCAGATCATCCAAAAATGCACTACTTTTACAGGATCCGACACGCACCCGGTGACATTTTCGGAGAGTCCGAGCAACATAGGCTAACATTCCCATATATTGATTCTCATCCATTCTTCTTTTTCGCGAAATATGTTCAGCTACTTTCAATAGTCAATTAACGAGTATATAAAGATGGTCATCATTCTACTTTCAATAGTCCATAAGAAGTAAAAAGTATTTGAAAAGACAAATAGGAGAACTTGTGAAGAGCGTTCATACTAAGATCAGATACTGAAATTAGGAATGTATAAACCAAGATTGTCGTTGTTTCTACTGAGGCTTCGTCAAATTCAAGCTGAAATCCCAGAGTTTCTTTGCCAACTCTGTATCTCTAGCATGAGAAGTTGGTGTAGCAACATTGCTGTCTGAAAAATATTCACCGGTTATCCCCTTCACCTGAGGATGCAAAGCCACATAGCACGTAGTTGCCGCTCCCTAGAATTAAGGGAGAAACATATAAGAAAACAAATGTAAAATCTTGTGGCAGACAGTTTATATCTTATATTTACAAGAAACTAGTCACCTGTGGAATATCTTTAATAAAGTATTTGCCAATCCAGTTAACTATGCCTGCAAGTAGTCGAAATCAAACATTAACCTCAATCAGTTGAAGAGAGTTGCAATAAACCTAACTTTCGTCAAACCAACCAAAACACAGATATAAGCGAAGGTGTTAATTTTTTATAGGATTGAAGGTTACAATTTCATGAGACATGCGATAAAAACAATAAGAAACACTGTGGAAGATGAAAAAATTACCTTCAATCAAATTCTGGTGACGCATGAGGTTGGTATTAATTGCCCCTGGGTGAAGCGAATTTGCAGTTATCTCCAATCCTTCTTCCTGTAAGACAAGTAGCAATAGAGCTTATGCTTAACAAGAACAGAGATCCACTTCATCATACTGCATTCCTTCTAGGACAGGTTTAAACGTCATTTTTAAAGAATTAGTAAAAACCTGCTTTCAGGGAATTAAATAAACTCATAATTTCATTGACTATAAAGTTGCACAATATCATATATAGTGGCTCAACTAACAACAATGAAAATTCAAATAGTAAGAGTTTGCTTATCCACCTTTTGTCGCCAAACAATCAGAGGTTGAGGCTTGAGATAGAAGTTGGACCTGAAGTCAGTGATTAGTGGGCCTTACTTCCAAGGATTAACTCTGACCATTGTCCCATTTTACTGACATGTGGGGACTGGGAATTCTCAAAGTCTTACTTTAAATTTGAGAATTGGTGGACGGAGGTAGATGGCTTCAAAGAAAGGATGGAAGGAGGGTGGAATTCATTTCAAATACAAGGTAGACTAGAATATGTTTTGGCCTGCAAACTCAAATGTTTGAAGACAAAGCTGAAATAATGGAATGCTAATAACTATGGGAGCCTGAAGATAAAGAAAACTGGCATACTTGATCAGATTTCAGCAATGGATATTTTACGGGAGCAGAGACCACTTACTAAAGATGAACTTCTTCAAAAGGCAAACTTACATATGGAGTTTGAGAAGATAGCAAAATATGAAGAGATCTCATGGAGACAGAAATCTAGAAGACTTTGGCTAAAAGGAGAAAAAAAACACAAATTTTTTCCAGAAAATGGCCAATTCTCGCAGAAGGTTCAATCACATAGATAATTTGGAGGTTGAAGGAAAAGCTATTACTGATCCAGAAGGTATTAAAAAGGAGATAGTAGACTTTTACCAGAACTTATATGCTGAAACAGAAACATGGAGGCCAAACTATAATTTAATAGATGGGCCTTGCATTTCAGAGGAAGAAAGGGAGTGGCTGCAAAGGGATTTTGACGAACATGAGGTACTGGAAAGTCTTAAACTATGTGCAGCTGATAAGGCCCCAGGCCGGATGGATACACTATGGGGTTCTTTCATAAGTGTTGGGAGATAGTAAGGGAGAATCTCATGAAAACCATTAAGAATTTTCATAATAATGAATACTTTGAAAAGAGTTTCAATGCCTCATACATAGCACTAATTCCTAAGAAGAATGGAGCAAAGGAGCTGCGAGATTTTAGACCAATTAGCCTAATTGGAAGTGTGTATAAGATCATCTCCAAGCTGCTGACAGAAAGATTGAAGAGAGTAGTGAATAAGCTGGTTGATGGTCATCATATGGCATTTATAAGAGGGAGACAAATCATGGACGCTGCATTGATACTTAATGAGTGTGTGGACTCTAGATTGAAAGGGCAGTATCCAGGGATCCTTTGCAAGCTAGATATTGAGAAGGCATATGATCATGTTAATTGGAACTTTCTTCTAAAAATGCTAAAGGATATGGGTTTTGGTGCAAAATGGATTAAGTGGATCTCTTTTTGTATTAAAACTGTAAAATTTTCCATTCTTGTCAATGGCTCCCCAGAAGGATTTTTTGCATCAGATAGAGGTCTTAGACAAGGAGATACCTTGTCATCTTTCCTATTTCTAATAGCCATGGAAGGGCCGAGTCAGATGCTGCAAATTGCCAAAAGGAATGGGTGGATCAGGGGTTTCTCTGCATCAAATAGGGAGGATAGTAGCTTGGAGATCACACATTTGTTGTATGCTGATGATTCACTGGTGTTTTGCGAAGCTAAGGTTGAGCAACTAAGACATCTAAGGCTCATTTTAGTTGTCTTTGAAGCAATCTCAGGGTTGCTGGAGGAAAAGTATGTTGTTCCCGATCAAGGAAGTTCAAAACATTCAGGTATTAGCTACAATTTTGGATTGCCTGGTGGAATCACTGCCAACCACTTACTTGGGTTTGGCATTGGGTTCTAAGAATAAATCCCAGGAAATATGGAATATTGTGGTAGAACTATCAGTAGCAAATCAGCAGCAAAGGTGTTGGGATTAAAAAAAACTGAGCCTGAGACTAATGTTGACTTCCTGAATATGGCAAATCGAACGCTCCCTGAGACTCTTCTCTCTCTTCTTCTTCCTAAGACTCCACCACCCCCATCAAGAGCCAAGCGTCCCGCGTCGAAACCCCAGTGAAATTCTCCGGCGACTGAGCCCTCACGCGCGGCCAACTCGCCTGCTTTTCCGGTGAGATCTCAGCCACGCGCCGGCGCGTGTGGCTTTTTCCGACGACTTTTTCAAACTTTTTTCTTCAGACAACCTCTTCTCGAGGCTTTTCCGAGCCTTCCCGTTTGAGTTTCACCAAAATCCGACGACTTTTTCTTTTTCCGGCCATTAAACCCCAGATTCCGGCGACTATTTCCTTTGTTCAGTACCAGAAAACTTTCTTCCCTTCCTATATACTGTTTTCACCCACTGTGACCACTGATATTCTAATCTTTGAGGCTTTTTCCGGCCAGATCTCACTCCTTTTTTGGGACAGCCGCATTTAGAATATGATGGATTCTACAGAGAGAAGCTCTTTCTTCTCTCTAGAATCTAGAAAATTGGAAAACATGTCTTTCATCAAAGCTGCCTCTTGGCCAGCCCTATAACTTGGGGGAAGATGCCATCGAAAGCTCGACGTTGGGCAGGAGCCGCACTTCTCGCAGTCTGAGGAGCACACTCTCAGGCGCAAGGGTTTCTTGGAATCTAGTCTCATTGGGTCTTTCTCCAAATGGGTTGGTTCTCCGGAGGCTGTTAGGAACTGGGCAGCAGAGGCATGGAACGTCAAGGACGGGCTGAAAATATCGCAACTGGGGGACACTCAATATCTCTTTCGTTTTGTCGGCAAGTCTCAAGCTTCAGAAATTCCTGTCAAGGGAAACAGGTGGTTCGATAGGAACTTCTTAAAGCTAGACAGATGGGTGGAGCACGATAGATGTCTCGACCCTCGTTTCACCGGCGAATCATTGGTGGTCAACATGGTGGGTCTCCCGGTGCATCTTTGGTGTCTCGACCTATTCAAGAAGATTGGAGAAATCTGTGCGGGTTTTATTGATGTCCCTTGCAGCTTACATGATCTCTCGCAAGTGAGGATTGTGGTGAGGAAAGGGGGCAGAATCCCTGTCTCCACTTTGGTTGAGCCCTGAATTTCGTCCCATATTATGCCTGTGATAGTGGCGGAAGAAAAGGGAAGGTCAAATAGAAGGGAGGGGAGGGGAGGGGAAATCAGTCTCTGAGGGGAGGGGAGGGCTCATCGGATCAGTGGACTAAGCCGGAATCAGACGTTTAGATCGAGAAGAGACGGGAGGTTTGAATTTGGGAGAAGACAAAATTTTAACAGGAGGAAAAGACGTGAATGGGTTAGTGATGAGGGTTGGAAAGGCAGAATGGGTCGGTCCTCTTTTAACTAACTATTATAGGGCCGGGCAAGATTTCAGCAAGTATAGGCCTGGGCCTCCACACATGGACCCAGCAACCTTTCCTAATTCTATTAGAATTGATCCCAAGGGGCCCAGATTATATCAAGCTGCGTCTGATAAGGCTCCTAAGCATATGGGAGCAATCGCTCCTTCTTCTTCTGCCAATGGTGCCTCACACAGTGGTATTTCTTCACCAAGCACTAGTGACTTGCGCCCCTCTTCAGCCACTGCTCCAGGGGCAACACCGGCTAAAGCTAGTGGTGTTATTCCACGGCCTCTGATGGACCCAGCTCCATCGCCCCCTCATCTCCCCATGTGCTTAGTTGTGCTGAGGTTACAATACAAGCTCCTTCCTCTTCTAGGGAGATTGTTGCGCTTGCCCCAATTGATGTCAGTGGCGGGCCAGTAATACCAGTTAATATGCCGCCAAGGGCTCCATCACGATACCCTGCCAGAAAGGCATTAATTTCAGAGATTGGTACCTCTCAAGGAAACGACGAGATCCACCCGGCACCTAAAGTTCCTATTGCTAGCAATGCTATGGTTCTGCATTCCTCCGATAGGGACAAGGAAAAGGTACTTATAGAAGACGCATGTCCAATTTCGTCACGGATTGGAGAAGGGGATATGTCCTTTTGGATGAAGGATAAACTATTAAACTTTGGGAAGTTCTTAGGTGTTTTTTTTAAGGGAAGGAAGATATGGTGCTAGAACTGTTGAGGGAGATTGAGCAACAGTCTTTTTACGAAGGTGCAGGGAGGAAGTTGGGTAAAGGTGTTAAGCAAAATAACTTAGGGGATGTAGTGGTGTATCAGAGAAGGGGCAGGGTGTGTGACAGGGAGAAAGGGACCTCGGCTGGGGGAGTGGGGAAATGGGGACTAATGTTACTTATGGAAGTTAAGATTCTTTCATGGAATGTGAGGGGGATGAATAACCCAAACAAAAGGGTCATCATCAAAGTGAGAGTTAGGGAGTGCGGTGCCAACCTAGTTTGTTTTCCGGAGACCAAAATGGAAGTTTTGTCGGATGCGATCGTGAGAAGTGTCTGGGAATGTAGTTGGGTGAAATATGACTGGGTCCCCGTAGCGGGAAGTGCCGGGGGCATTCTACTTATGTGGGATGATAGAAGCTTGGAGGTAAAGGAGATTAGGAAGGGAGTTTTTTCTTTAGCAGCTCTCGTCAAAGATAGAGTGAGTGGGGGTGGAGTGGGGATTTGGGGAGTGTACGGACCGGTAGGGAAAGGGTCCAAGGTGTATTTCTGGGAGGAACTGGCCAATATTATGGGGGAATGGGACATTCCATGGGTTCTAGGGGGAGACTTTAACACTATTAGATTCCCGGAGGAGAGATTAGGGTGTAATCTGATTTCGAGGGACATGGAGGAGTTTTCTGACTTCATCAATGATCACTTTCTCGTTGATCTTCCTCTGTCAGGGGAAAGGTTTACATGGGCCAGGGCGGAGGATTCCAACTCAAGGTCTAGACTTGATAGATTNGTGGAGTGGGGATTTGGGGAGTGTACGGACCGGTAGGGAAAGGGTCCAAGGTGTATTTCTGGGAGGAACTGGCCAATATTATGGGGGAATGGGACATTCCATGGGTTCTA